TCTCGATCAAGCAGGTTTTGCACCCAGCAGGCAAAGTGCGCTATCACCCGACTGTGCTGCCTCATCGGGTGTGAGCTGAATAGCACTATGGCTGCTCTGGAGATGTAACACACCATTAACAATATCCCAACAACAACTCAAATCGCGTGAGCAGTTGACACACATCACAGAAAGCAAATTAGCCAGGCTGCTGCAAACTGGGAATGCAATAAAACCAAACTGATGGTAAACACAGAATCATTTCAATGTGTTTTTACTGAAGGGGCATACAGTATGTAATATGTTAATCACAGGTTATAAAGTGATTTGAAATGTATTATTTTTCAAATGAAATTTTGAATCATATTTTTTCTCATAATTAAATGTTACAGATAATCTTTTCAATGATTGTGTTAGACAAAGACAAAATCAGTATATATATATATATATATACATTTTTATATATATTAGCATTACATTATGCCCTGATCTAAAGTAACTCAAGTACAAATAACTAAACTAAGTAAAAAAAAACAAAAAACAAAACCCAGACCAAAGTACCTGAAACCCTTATATTCTATAGTTTAGGTCAGTCTTCAATTGCTCCAGTTAAGACTGGGAAATCACTTTATCCCTGACAGCAAACATTTTATAAGCATAATTAGAAAGATTGTTTTAGAAAAGGCATGAGTAAACATTTTAGGGAGTTGTTATGGAGTGGAGCTGAGATAAACATACATGGACTAGCACGGGGAGCTTTTTTTCCTCCCACCTATGTGTGAAGATAGACCAAAGGCAAACAGGGAATGTGCTTGGCTGAAAGGAGGACTGGAGCAGACAAACAGACTGGTCAAAGCCAGCAGGCAAGAAGGCAGAGTATTTACCCAAGGTAAGTATTGAAATCTGCTGACGAGATCTGTCCATCCAGAGCTGAGCTTTAGCTATGACTATTTGAGCTTTTGTTTTTTGGTGTTTCATTTCTACTCTCTAAGTTTTCATGTGAAATGTTCAACAATCCAGTGCTGAATTTAATATTTAGCATTATTTCGAAATCAGTGTATTCCGTTGAAGCTCTATGCAGAAGGTGAACACAAAGCTGCACATTTATTTGAATTATTCATTTTTCCAAATATTCTGGACAACAAACATTTGACAAGCAAGACCCCTTTACTGTAATACCCCCAAAAAATCTGAACTCCAAATAGATTTTAAAAGCAGCCTTATTAGAAATAATTTCTGTCAGTATAACAAAAAACTGCTTTATAAAGGTCTTAAAAGTTTATTTTAAAGAACTTTAGCAAACAAACATTATCAGGATGAACCAGGAACATGACAGACAGGTCAGAGATGAAGTTAATGAGAGCTTTAAAGCTTATGAGCCTTTTTATCTCATGTAGCACAGCTCAATTCATCCTCTATTTAAAAAAAAAAAAAGGGTACGAATGCAAACCTACCAAGACATGCATGTTCATCTGGACTGGCTGCACAAGCAAGGAGGGCATTTATTGGAGAATAAGCAAGGCGCCCCATTATATAGCTCAAGGAGCTAAAAGTCTGCAAAAAGATTCTGGTAATGTGAATCTCTCAATAGGAAAATTTGTGATAACTAAGGTTTATGAAAGAGCTGAAAGAAGAATGTTGATATTAAAAGATAGAAATAGTAAGGTTAAAATAAAACAGTTGATAAAATTATGAAAACTTGAGACTAAAGAACAGGTGAACTCTCCCACGGATCATTACTCTGACAAACCATCCACAGCTAAGGATGCTTTAGCTCAAAACGTATGCATGTGTTACCAGGGCCAAGTCAAAATACAAACCTCAGATTAAATGGGTTTCACTAAACATAGATGCCGATGGTTACAATCACTCTCCAGCCAATCTGACTCAATTCAAACCGATTTTGAAGAATGGTTTAACATCCCAATCACTAGTTGTGAAAAGGTGGTAAAGATATACCCCCAGATTCTAGATTTCTAGAATCAGATTTCTAAAATCCATATATCATAGCTTCTATCTCCTGTTCCTAATGGTATTTCAGTTATTAGGTTCTGCAGACATTGTAGATGGACCTTTCACTGTGTTTCCAAATTCCCATTAAGCCTCTTTCAGTTTCCTCAAACGCTTCTTCCTATGTTCTCATCCCCCTGATTCTTCTCTGCCATCTTAGAGATATCGCAAACTCAGATTAACCTGCTTATTTACTGCCTCACAATAAACTGTTTAAACGTATATTCTGGCCCTCAGAGAGTATTTGCACATGTGGGGTAGGTATTTTAACAAAATCACGGGTATAGATTATTGATACCAGTTTATAGTGCTGCAAACCTGTGTGTCAGGAAGTTGCTCCTTGTGAGTGTTGGCACTTGCAGAGGTGTTGAAAGGAAAGACTCAGGTGCCAACTGAGACACCAACACTGTGGGAAATGACACTGGTTATCACACCCTTGATTTTTACACCATAGTTTCTTTACCTCTAACACAAAGGGGCTCTCTTTTCTTATTGCAAAGTAATTAATGGGTTAGGAAATGATAAATTCTAATATTTGCCACCCACAGATGAAAGCCCTCACATTTGCAACTACTACAGAAAAGCAGGAATCCTGATACGTGAGGTGGTTGTGTTTTCATAGTGCAGCACAGAATAACAGAGGAATCTAACCTTTAGCTCCTATAATTTGTGAGATTCTTGAAAAGAGAAATATCAAGACAAAATGTAAGAATGCATTAAAATTTGGGTTTTTTTTTTTACACAGGCCTATTGGAAAAACAGCCTGAAACATATAAGATGTTTGATATTTCTAATGTTCAGTGAGAAATCTGAAAACCGTCAGACTTTAACCTGAGTGGGATTTGTTTTTCTCTGCTTGCTGTGAACTCCGGTCCAGACGGTTGGACAGAGAGACAGACAGAATCGCTGTGCTGGCAGGACGAATATACACACTGATGTCTGCTTTTAATATTTGTTTTTGTTTTTATTCAATTTTCCTGGTGGTCCCCATAGTGACATCAAGCTCTTATTTATGACAATAACACTGCTGTGCAAGATGTCATTTATCTCATGTTTTGTTGTTGTTACTCTTACAATTTTTTTCTTTTCTTAACCACTGATTTAAAACAAATCACCAGGGCCAAACAGCAATTTCCCTGAGCTATAACAAATGCTGCCTAGTTAAACTATTTACACCTTCAGGATGCATCTACAGCTGTATATTTTAATGGGATTTGCTATGGAGAATCACATTGTAGTAGATAATATAGGTTTAAAAAGGAAATTATGCACTTTTATAATATTACAGATTCAAACTATATAGAGGACATCACTAAACATCTACTTTCAACAGTGTAAATAAGTCATTTTTATTCCTGGACTTTGACTGAGTTATTCAATGAAATTATCTTTTTTTTTTTTTTTTTTTTATCTAAAACAACTCAAAGTAGCTTTGCCTATGTGTTTTTAGCCATTCTGGTGCTGTAGGAAGAACAGGTGTCACTGTTGTTTTATAGCCTCTAACTTTACTTTTACTTTATTTATTTATTTTTTCACAAATCAAAATAGAAACTCAGAATACATTAATAAAAAAAGAAATGTGATGGAGTGTGACAGAAACCCCATAGGGCTTATATCAAAGTCCACACCCCTAGAACAAAACACTTTTTTTTTTTTAAAAACATTTTAACTTACAGATTTCAGGGAGTCAGTATTTGTAAAATCATACATGACTGTCTTTTTTGGATAACAGTATTTTTTTCAAACACTTTCTACTATTTATCTCTGAAGATTTGAAATATTTTTTATACTCATTCCATAGTTTTGCATCACAATGCCGAAAAGAAAACTGCACTTGAGTTTTAATACTTAAAT